AAATCAAATTCAGTTAAATGTGGTTTAAGAGAAGGAATTTTAAAGTCTTGCAGAAATTGTTTTTTTGGAATGTTAAGAGAGATATTGATATTGAATTGATTATCATTTTGAACCTTGAAAAGAGGTTGATTAATATTGTCTTCACTAATATAATAGTGAAGTCTAAAGCGAATAGGGCGTAAGTTCATATCTTCATAGAATTTGTTAGCATGAATGGTTTGATATTTATCATGTAAAATAAGGTGCAAACGTGCAAGATTTAATGCAACTCGATTTCTATTAGGAATAGAATAAGGAGGTATAGAATTGTAGGAGGAAAGTATTTTTGGATAATTTAACTGAGTAAAAAGGATGGTAGTGAATTCTTTAAGAAGGTCGACAAGAGTAGAATGAATAATTTCAAAGGGAATTGTAATTGATTTGCTAATTGAGGGATTGGCTTCGTATATGATGTCAGTTAAAAACTTAGGTCTTTTACCAGCCATCGTTTTGATAAGATAATTGTAGTTGAACTTGGATGCTTTTGTAGTCTCAGTAGCTGCTTTGGTGACTTTTCCAGGGTAGATATCTACAAGGTGTGGTTTAATGAATTCAAATAATTGGTAGGCCAAAGTATTATTAAGCTTGGTGTATGGTTCCATATCTTCAGTTACCGGATATGCTTTGAACCAGTCAAGGTCCTTGGAACTATCTCTAGTATTTTGGTTAAGTTTTCTTGGTTTTTTATTAGGAAGTTGTTGGTTTTGCTTAAGTTTGTTAAGGAAAGTAGCGAATATAGTTCTTTTATCAGCAGCAGACATTTGTTGGAGTTTAAGGAAGATGGTTATAGATTTTTGCTCAAGAGTCATTGGAGCAGTAGGGTTAAGTGGTTTGAGTTTGATGTCATAGATTTGTGGAGCACAAGTTCTGTGAAGGAGAAAGAGGTTTTTGAATATACAAGCTACTGAGTAGTCTGGAGCATGACTGCTTTGTTCTGTAGCTACACAAGGAATGTTCTTGATTTTGCAGATGAAGCAAGTATGGTAGTGTTGAGAGTGAGCGATAATAACTGTAGGAGTTTTGTCAGTTTGAAAGCTTGGGAATAGCATTCTTGGAGTAGCGGTAGATGATGTAGATGATTCAGGTTGACTTTGCATTTTGGTATTTGGAGAAGCAGGTAATTCGTCAGTAATTTTTTGAAATTGCTTTTTCGAAATAGTAGAGATAGTATCGGTTGGTTGGCCTATTGCAGTTGGATGTTCAATTCTATAGAATCGAGAAGTGAAGCTAGTATGATATTTATTGCAGAAGCATGTACCAATAGCAGGTTGCTTTGGTACTTGAAAATAGTGTAATTTTTTGGCAGTCAGTAGGTCACAGATTTCGGGTTTGAAGTTAGGTGGAAGTACTTTAAGTGAGCCTGGTTTGTTTTCATTCATTCCGATACCAAACCGGTCACGATATCGAGTATAATAATAGTCAATATCATAGGAGTCTGGGTCTTCAGATAGAGTTAAAGTCGGCATAATGTTGATAGTATTGAGGAGCTGCTTTTTTCAAGGGGTGTGACAAATAAGAGGGTGTGACAAATAAAAAGGATGTGACAAATAAGGGGTGTGATATATAATGGGTGTGATGAATAAGGAGTCGCCTGGTGTAACAATTGGATGATCGACAGGATCGACGTGATCGACGTAAGACAAAAGTTGTGTAATTTAATTAAAAATAAATAAGTAAAATTAGATTAAAGATAAAAATAGATAAAACAGAAGTTAAATTTGTGTAAACTGATTTGTAATAATGATTTGTAATCTAGGATCTGCAAGTCTGGGCGTCCTAGGGGGGCAGGGTTCCCCAAAAAAGAGAAAAAATTTTTTGCAAAAGTAAAGCACAATTTTTTGCAATGGAGTTTGAAGTATTTTAACTATTGCGCTGTCAATTTTGGTCCGTTTTTGATGTACTATATATCAAAATGAAGCTAGAAGTTAGCTGAATCTTTTTGTTTTAATAAGCAAAGGCAGTTGTCTTAATAAAATTTTGAGTTTTTGAAGAAAGAACACAGAAGAACAAGTTTAGCTATATCTCACTAATAAAGACCTTTGGAGATATAAAACTAGGCCGCCTATATGTAAAATTTTATTAGGAACAATTTTACTTAGGCAGCCAGAATAGGTTTACTTAGTAAAATATTTAGAAAAATGCAATTGTTTTTAGAGAAAACTTGGTACAAGTGATCGTCGGGAAGAGTTAGTGATTTGCGTCTACAATTAATTAAAATTATAATTTTAACTATCTATATTTTATTATAAATTTTTATTTATATTTTAAAGTATTGCTAAATATTATCACAGATAATTATTACTACTCATATATTTAACCAATTAAATTAAAAAATCTTGTATAATCAAAACAATAACAAACTAAAAAAAGCCAAAAAACATTAATAACAATATAATTTACTATAGTAATAAATTTTTAAACACTAATTAAGAATTTTTAGCACAAAATTTTACATATAATTTTCTTTTTTCATTCTAATCCTATCTAACCCTAACTCTAAACTTTGGTTTTTTAAAAAACTATATAATAGCATAATTATAGTACCTGTGATAATCTTTAGCAAAATTCTAAATTTAAATTAAAATTAGAATTAATATTAAAAAAAAGTTTAAATACAGAGTTAAAGATAGGCTTTTATAGTGCTAAATATTTTTATTTAATGCATCAAATATGATTATTTAGTCTAGTTTTTAAGATAGCATAATGAAGTAGTTATATAACTAGGAGGCAAATTAGTAACAATCAAAAATTTTTATTTTAAGTATATAATTTTATAAAAATTTTGATGTTGTTAAATTATATTAATGATATTTAACACTATAATTATAATATCTCAAAACTATCTAAATAACCAAGGCTAGAAGTATTAAATAAAAATGTTTAACTTATTTTTAATTCTAATTTTTAGTCTATAATTTTTAGTTTATCCTAATTGTCAACTCTAATCTTAAAAATTAACAACAAATTTAACTTTACTATGATGTTAAATACTACTGGTGTGATTTATAATTACTAAAAAAAATTTGATTGGATAATTGTCAATAAAATTTTAACTTTTTATAAAGTTACAATGTGTATCTATATTATTTTCAGTGTAAAGGATGAGGTCATGCCTCAAGTCTTTATTAGTATATACATATACGTGTATCCAATTTGGGTTTATTTTGTTTAGATTTACAAATTTACCAAAGTTAATATTATGTGACCAAATTTTACTATTTTAAACCAAATTATACATTTATATATATAAAATAATCGAAATATGCGTATTAAGAAAAAATTCAGGTGCGACTTAGAACATATACAATAAATAAGTTATTGTAAATAATTTTTACAATAAAGAATCTTCAAAACATTCATAATACGTGACGGTACGTTGTACAAATGGACTAAAACAGTATTTACGCGTTAATTTCTATGGTTTATACAAAAGCGCGTTATCTAATCACGCACCAAATCAGTAAACTGTGTTACATAAATGATTATAAATTAGTCGATCATTTATTGTTGCACTGTTTGATCTTTTTTCTCCGAAGGCCAAAGGTTATTTGATTTTAAGAATTTTTGGAAATAATTTTGATATATATAGTAATTATATTGATCATAAAAATTTCCTCTTATTAAATACATTATATTAGTCTTTATTTTTTTCTTTTTTACGTGGAAATTTTAATTTATGTAAAAGAACGAGAAATGAGTAGCTCTACGAAACGTCAAAAATCCATCGCACCTTCTAGTAAAACAACCACCAATTTGACTCATTCACCAAACCTTCTACAGCTTCCACCCGAAACATTTCTTGAAATTAGTAAATCTCTTGCACCAGTTGACCTACTTTCTCTTTCATTGGTGTGTAAAACTTTCTATAGCGATTTATGTTGTAGCGAGTCTATAACAGTTCAAGAAATATGGCGTCAATCAAGATTAACTTATATGCCGTTCCGTTTAATGGGACCACCTGATGGGATGAACGAACGAGAGTATATTAGATTTTTGATTGAGGATAAATGTTATTTTTGTGGAACTAAAAGTCGAGTTACAAGAATTTATTGGGAAAGAAAAGTAAGATCTTGTCTTAAATGTTTTAAGGAAAATACGATTGAGTAAGTGGAGAATTTTTTTTTATTTCAATGAATATACCGCGGTTGTATTTTTTTTTTTTTTTTTTAAATTTTTTAAATAAAACTTTATTATACAGTCGAGGTATTGATATAAGAGTTCAATTGATCTTACAAAGGCCATTTCTTCAAAATGGAAGTCGAAGTCATCGTTTCTGGCGTGATCAAGTACAGTCAAAATATATTGAACTTTGTAGCATCGCCATTGAGGATCAAAATGATTGGATGTATCAGCAATATCAACTTCGTAACGACCTTCAACGTGAAATAGCAGAACGTCGACGTGAAGATGTGTTAAGCAGAGAAAACCAAAGATCTCAAAGAATTCAGGATATTGGCGATAAATTAGATATAATGTGTGAAGAAAGAGATGAGAATGAAGAGATGAAATATCAACGATCAATTTTAGAAAAGTGTCCAAGTTTGCGTAGATGTTATACATATGAACGACCATTTAGCGAACGAGGGTAAGTTTTTAAATTATGTTTAATTGTCTTGCATGTTTATTTTATTTTCTTAATTTTCAAAATTATTTATTTAAATTATGGTTGATTGTATTGTAGATGGAAAATTTTACGACAGAAGTTAATAAAGGAATATCCGGAGGCAGAACGATTGTACAAGTGTGTGATTGATAGCAGCGATGACGATGATAATTACGACAATAGTGGTGGTGGTGGTATTGATGATGATGATGAAATACTTATCGATGATTCAGATGATTTAAGTGATGATGGTACAAAACTTTTCTTTAGCTCTGGCAAATATCGTTGCATGATTCAATAACATCTTAGATAGATAAGCGGTATAATATCTAAATCAAAGCGGCATAGCACATTTGTAGGCATATTTGTAACTATATGGACTATATTATATGGCTTATCCGAATAGCATTCAGACTGTATTATGAATAATAAAATCAATTCTAGAAAGGACTTTATTGAACTTTATAAATGTTATTTTCTTTCACACAAAATGTGTTACGATACTAGAAAATTAAGCGTTAATTCTCTTTCTGTATAATTATCATTAGTAAATAATGAATCATTTCTTCATCTAATGTATAGTGCATTGTTTTTTTTTAATATTACAACTTGTGAGTCAATGAACTCATTTAATCTTTCTTAGATTCGGATATTTGGTTTTATTCTTTTTTTCTTTTATTGTAACGTTATCCAAACTACATATGATCAAGATTTTTTTCTTGATAATTTTTGGCAAATATTATTGAAAAACTTTATACGGTCATATTGATAACATTAATATTTGGCATACGATTCATTATCATAAATCGTGATCTATACATGTAAGCTTTATTACGAATATAATATTGTATAAAAACTTTAAGATCACAAAAACACTGTACAATAAGCTTAATAATAAACCTATTACGTAAAAGTAAGACCATACAAATTTAATATTTTGTTTTCATAACATGAAACTTATTTTATAAATAATCCGCCTGGTTATTAAAAAAATATATAAATTGTTTTCTTAAAGTTTCCAACATTTGACGCGAAAACCGATTAATTAGTTTTCTAACTCTAATCTCTAAAATTCAAAATTTTAAATCCTATTTACGCTAGTAGGTTGGATGTGTAGAAACGCACCAAATATTTTCTAAGCAAATTTTTTAAAAATTTATTTAAAATATATAAATTTGATTAAGTTTTATTGAATTATTTTTTAAAGACTTAAAAAAATTTCATTGAAAATAGATTTGATATGTTTCTACCAAATAACCCCCAGATTTCAAATTTTATTTAAGTTTTTTTTTTTATTTTTAATTATGACTGTTTTTTATTTTAATAACATTATCTAAGCTTATTATTTTATTTAAACTACTTTTTTTACAATATCCATTTAAATATTTGTATTTACATTTAACAAAACTTTTGAAGATAGATAAATATTTTATGTCTATTTATTTTATTTTCTATGATAACATTATTAATATTATACATTTAACCAATTTTATTTTTAGTACTATTAATATATTTAATTCCATAATTTTAATATATTGAAATTTTATTACTTATTATTTTTTAATATTAATTTTATTAATTGATAATTCTATCTTGTCTCAGGTCAAATAACTTGACCTATCATGATGCGGAGGGTATGTTTAATTTGATCTAGATTAAAATATGACTTCAGGTGGTTAAATACATACAATTTTAACAAATAAATCATTGATTGACCTGATTTACAAATTTTCAGCATTATTATATCGACGATGCGTCATAATTCAGTCATAATTAATCTGTACAAATAATGTATTTACCAATAGCAGGTTACATTTTTAATTACAATAAAAGGTTTAAATGTTAATCTTAAAATTAGTTAATATTTTCGACACATCACATACACAAATCATATGGCAGATTATTATAATCCGAATTAAAATGGAAATTTCGCTTATCAACATTTAACGTCAATACGTATACAAACTTACTTTTGCTTTAAAATTTAAATAAATTTTTAATTAATTTAATATTATATACGATTTTTAGAGATGATCTGTTAAAACTAAGCCATATTAGTTATAAACTGTAAAAATTAAATAATTAGATCATTATTATATAATAACTTTAAAAAATTATATAAAAACTATATGAGAAATACGTACTATTTGTACAGCATGTTTAAACCTTAAAATTTTGATTACGAAACAGCTTTTGAGTTCTAACAAATAAATTTCAGCATATATTATGAATATTACTAACTCAAAAGCTAACCTTAAGTAGAATTAATTTCGCAAAAAGCTCTTTCAGACTTGTGCTACGGGTTTAAACATTTCAAATCAAGAATTGGCTTTTTTTTTGGTTAGAACCGTTAACGTTTTAGAAGATTATAAAAGGAATGTGAAAGTGTTGCAAATTTGATTTCGTTTTATATCTGGATCTTATTCTTTCTATATCTTGATCCTTAGCATTCTGCTATGAATGGCTGTCGATTATAAAGGAAAAAGCTCATTGCCGACAATAAGTTAGCTGTACTATCTTGAAACACAAGTCCAGGAAAAATGATCACTTACCAAAAATAGTTTTTATATAATTTTTTAAAGTTATTATATAATAATGATCTAATTATTTAATTTTTACAGTTTATAACTAATATGGCTTAGTTTTAACAGATCATCTCTAAAAATCGTATATAATATTAAATTAATTAAAAATTTATTTAAATTTTAAAGCAAAAGTAAGTTTGTATACGTATTGACGTTAAATGTTGATAAGCGAAATTTCCATTTTAATTCGGATTATAATAATCTGCCATATGATTTGTGTATGTGATGTGTCGAAAATATTAACTAATTTTAAGATTAACATTTAAACCTTTTATTGTAATTAAAAATGTAACCTGCTATTGGTAAATACATTATTTGTACAGATTAATTATGACTGAATTATGACGCATCGTCGATATAATAATGCTGAAAATTTGTAAATCAGGTCAATCAATGATTTATTTGTTAAAATTGTATGTATTTAACCACCTGAAGTCATATTTTAATCTAGATCAAATTAAACATACCCTCCGCATCATGATAGGTCAAGTTATTTGACCTGAGACAAGATAGAATTATCAATTAATAAAATTAATATTAAAAAATAATAAGTAATAAAATTTCAATATATTAAAATTATGGAATTAAATATATTAATAGTACTAAAAATAAAATTGGTTAAATGTATAATATTAATAATGTTATCATAGAAAATAAAATAAATAGACATAAAATATTTATCTATCTTCAAAAGTTTTGTTAAATGTAAATACAAATATTTAAATGGATATTGTAAAAAAAGTAGTTTAAATAAAATAATAAGCTTAGATAATGTTATTAAAATAAAAAACAGTCATAATTAAAAATAAAAAAAAAAACTTAAATAAAATTTGAAATCTGGGGGTTATTTGGTAGAAACATATCAAATCTATTTTCAATGAAATTTTTTTAAGTCTTTAAAAAATAATTCAATAAAACTTAATCAAATTTATATATTTTAAATAAATTTTTAAAAAATTTGCTTAGAAAATATTTGGTGCGTTTCTACACATCCAACCTACTAGCGTAAATAGGATTTAAAATTTTGAATTTTAGAGATTAGAGTTAGAAAACTAATTAATCGGTTTTCGCGTCAAATGTTGGAAACTTTAAGAAAACAATTTATATATTTTTTTAATAACCAGGCGGATTATTTATAAAATAAGTTTCATGTTATGAAAACAAAATATTAAATTTGTATGGTCTTACTTTTACGTAATAGGTTTATTATTAAGCTTATTGTACAGTGTTTTTGTGATCTTAAAGTTTTTATACAATATTATATTCGTAATAAAGCTTACATGTATAGATCACGATTTATGATAATGAATCGTATGCCAAATATTAATGTTATCAATATGACCGTATAAAGTTTTTCAATAATATTTGCCAAAAATTATCAAGAAAAAAATCTTGATCATATGTAGTTTGGATAACGTTACAATAAAAGAAAAAAAGAATAAAACCAAATATCCGAATCTAAGAAAGATTAAATGAGTTCATTGACTCACAAGTTGTAATATTAAAAAAAAACAATGCACTATACATTAGATGAAGAAATGATTCATTATTTACTAATGATAATTATACAGAAAGAGAATTAACGCTTAATTTTCTAGTATCGTAACACATTTTGTGTGAAAGAAAATAACATTTATAAAGTTCAATAAAGTCCTTTCTAGAATTGATTTTATTATTCATAATACAGTCTGAATGCTATTCGGATAAGCCATATAATATAGTCCATATAGTTACAAATATGCCTACAAATGTGCTATGCCGCTTTGATTTAGATATTATACCGCTTATCTATCTAAGATGTTATTGAATCATGCAACGATATTTGCCAGAGCTAAAGAAAAGTTTTGTACCATCATCACTTAAATCATCTGAATCATCGATAAGTATTTCATCATCATCATCAATACCACCACCACCACTATTGTCGTAATTATCATCGTCATCGCTGCTATCAATCACACACTTGTACAATCGTTCTGCCTCCGGATATTCCTTTATTAACTTCTGTCGTAAAATTTTCCATCTACAATACAATCAACCATAATTTAAATAAATAATTTTGAAAATTAAGAAAATAAAATAAACATGCAAGACAATTAAACATAATTTAAAAACTTACCCTCGTTCGCTAAATGGTCGTTCATATGTATAACATCTACGCAAACTTGGACACTTTTCTAAAATTGATCGTTGATATTTCATCTCTTCATTCTCATCTCTTTCTTCACACATTATATCTAATTTATCGCCAATATCCTGAATTCTTTGAGATCTTTGGTTTTCTCTGCTTAACACATCTTCACGTCGACGTTCTGCTATTTCACGTTGAAGGTCGTTACGAAGTTGATATTGCTGATACATCCAATCATTTTGATCCTCAATGGCGATGCTACAAAGTTCAATATATTTTGACTGTACTTGATCACGCCAGAAACGATGACTTCGACTTCCATTTTGAAGAAATGGCCTTTGTAAGATCAATTGAACTCTTATATCAATACCTCGACTGTATAATAAAGTTTTATTTAAAAAATTTAAAAAAAAAAAAAAAAAATACAACCGCGGTATATTCATTGAAATAAAAAAAAATTCTCCACTTACTCAATCGTATTTTCCTTAAAACATTTAAGACAAGATCTTACTTTTCTTTCCCAATAAATTCTTGTAACTCGACTTTTAGTTCCACAAAAATAACATTTATCCTCAATCAAAAATCTAATATACTCTCGTTCGTTCATCCCATCAGGTGGTCCCATTAAACGGAACGGCATATAAGTTAATCTTGATTGACGCCATATTTCTTGAACTGTTATAGACTCGCTACAACATAAATCGCTATAGAAAGTTTTACACACCAATGAAAGAGAAAGTAGGTCAACTGGTGCAAGAGATTTACTAATTTCAAGAAATGTTTCGGGTGGAAGCTGTAGAAGGTTTGGTGAATGAGTCAAATTGGTGGTTGTTTTACTAGAAGGTGCGATGGATTTTTGACGTTTCGTAGAGCTACTCATTTCTCGTTCTTTTACATAAATTAAAATTTCCACGTAAAAAAGAAAAAAATAAAGACTAATATAATGTATTTAATAAGAGGAAATTTTTATGATCAATATAATTACTATATATATCAAAATTATTTCCAAAAATTCTTAAAATCAAATAACCTTTGGCCTTCGGAGAAAAAAGATCAAACAGTGCAACAATAAATGATCGACTAATTTATAATCATTTATGTAACACAGTTTACTGATTTGGTGCGTGATTAGATAACGCGCTTTTGTATAAACCATAGAAATTAACGCGTAAATACTGTTTTAGTCCATTTGTACAACGTACCGTCACGTATTATGAATGTTTTGAAGATTCTTTATTGTAAAAATTATTTACAATAACTTATTTATTGTATATGTTCTAAGTCGCACCTGAATTTTTTCTTAATACGCATATTTCGATTATTTTATATATATAAATGTATAATTTGGTTTAAAATAGTAAAATTTGGTCACATAATATTAACTTTGGTAAATTTGTAAATCTAAACAAAATAAACCCAAATTGGATACACGTATATGTATATACTAATAAAGACTTGAGGCATGACCTCATCCTTTACACTGAAAATAATATAGATACACATTGTAACTTTATAAAAAGTTAAAATTTTATTGACAATTATCCAATCAAATTTTTTTTAGTAATTATAAATCACACCAGTAGTATTTAACATCATAGTAAAGTTAAATTTGTTGTTAATTTTTAAGATTAGAGTTGACAATTAGGATAAACTAAAAATTATAGACTAAAAATTAGAATTAAAAATAAGTTAAACATTTTTATTTAATACTTCTAGCCTTGGTTATTTAGATAGTTTTGAGATATTATAATTATAGTGTTAAATATCATTAATATAATTTAACAACATCAAAATTTTTATAAAATTATATACTTAAAATAAAAATTTTTGATTGTTACTAATTTGCCTCCTAGTTATATAACTACTTCATTATGCTATCTTAAAAACTAGACTAAATAATCATATTTGATGCATTAAATAAAAATATTTAGCACTATAAAAGCCTATCTTTAACTCTGTATTTAAACTTTTTTTTAATATTAATTCTAATTTTAATTTAAATTTAGAATTTTGCTAAAGATTATCACAGGTACTATAATTATGCTATTATATAGTTTTTTAAAAAACCAAAGTTTAGAGTTAGGGTTAGATAGGATTAGAATGAAAAAAGAAAATTATATGTAAAATTTTGTGCTAAAAATTCTTAATTAGTGTTTAAAAATTTATTACTATAGTAAATTATATTGTTATTAATGTTTTTTGGCTTTTTTTAGTTTGTTATTGTTTTGATTATACAAGATTTTTTAATTTAATTGGTTAAATATATGAGTAGTAATAATTATCTGTGATAATATTTAGCAATACTTTAAAATATAAATAAAAATTTATAATAAAATATAGATAGTTAAAATTATAATTTTAATTAATTGTAGACGCAAATCACTAACTCTTCCCGACGATCACTTGTACCAAGTTTTCTCTAAAAACAATTGCATTTTTCTAAATATTTTACTAAGTAAACCTATTCTGGCTGCCTAAGTAAAATTGTTCCTAATAAAATTTTACATATAGGCGGCCTAGTTTTATATCTCCAAAGGTCTTTATTAGTGAGATATAGCTAAACTTGTTCTTCTGTGTTCTTTCTTCAAAAACTCAAAATTTTATTAAGACAACTGCCTTTGCTTATTAAAACAAAAAGATTCAGCTAACTTCTAGCTTCATTTTGATATATAGTACATCAAAAACGGACCAAAATTGACAGCGCAATAGTTAAAATACTTCAAACTCCATTGCAAAAAATTGTGCTTTACTTTTGCAAAAAATTTTTTCTCTTTTTTGGGGAACCCTGCCCCCCTAGGACGCCCAGACTTGCAGATCCTAGATTACAAATCATTATTACAAATCAGTTTACACAAATTTAACTTCTGTTTTATCTATTTTTATCTTTAATCTAATTTTACTTATTTATTTTTAATTAAATTACACAACTTTTGTCTTACGTCGATCACGTCGATCCTGTCGATCATCCAATTGTTACACCAGGCGACTCCTTATTCATCACACCCATTATATATCACACCCCTTATTTGTCACATCCTTTTTATTTGTCACACCCTCTTATTTGTCACACCCCTTGAAAAAAGCAGCTCCTCAATACTATCAACATTATGCCGACTTTAACTCTATCTGAAGACCCAGACTCCTATGATATTGACTATTATTATACTCGATATCGTGACCGGTTTGGTATCGGAATGAATGAAAACAAACCAGGCTCACTTAAAGTACTTCCACCTAACTTCAAACCCGAAATCTGTGACCTACTGACTGCCAAAAAATTACACTATTTTCAAGTACCAAAGCAACCTGCTATTGGTACATGCTTCTGCAATAAATATCATACTAGCTTCACTTCTCGATTCTATAGAATTGAACATCCAACTGCAATAGGCCAACCAACCGATACTATCTCTACTATTTCGAAAAAGCAATTTCAAAAAATTACTGACGAATTACCTGCTTCTCCAAATACCAAAATGCAAAGTCAACCTGAATCATCTACATCATCTACCGCTACTCCAAGAATGCTATTCCCAAGCTTTCAAACTGACAAAACTCCTACAGTTATTATCGCTCACTCTCAACACTACCATACTTGCTTCATCTGCAAAATCAAGAACATTCCTTGTGTAGCTACAGAACAAAGCAGTCATGCTCCAGACTACTCAGTAGCTTGTATATTCAAAAACCTCTTTCTCCTTCACAGAACTTGTGCTCCACAAATCTATGACATCAAACTCAAACCACTTAACCCTACTGCTCCAATGACTCTTGAGCAAAAATCTATAACCATCTTCCTTAAACTCCAACAAATGTCTGCTGCTGATAAAAGAACTATATTCGCTACTTTCCTTAACAAACTTAAGCAAAACCAACAACTTCCTAATAAAAAACCAAGAAAACTTAACCAAAATACTAGAGATAGTTCCAAGGACCTTGACTGGTTCAAAGCATATCCGGTAACTGAAGATATGGAACCATACACCAAGCTTAATAATACTTTGGCCTACCAATTATTTGAATTCATTAAACCACACCTTGTAGATATCTACCCTGGAAAAGTCACCAAAGCAGCTACTGAGACTACAAAAGCATCCAAGTTCAACTACAATTATCTTATCAAAACGATGGCTGGTAAAAGACCTAAGTTTTTAACTGACATCATATACGAAGCCAATCCCTCAATTAGCAAATCAATTACAATTCCCTTTGAAATTATTCATTCTACTCTTGTCGACCTTCTTAAAGAATTCACTACCATCCTTTTTACTCAGTTAAATTATCCAAAAATACTTTCCTCCTACAATTCTATACCTCCTTATTCTATTCCTAATAGAAATCGAGTTGCATTAAATCTTGCACGTTTGCACCTTATTTTACATGATAAATATCAAACCATTCATGCTAACAAATTCTATGAAGATATGAACTTACGCCCTATTCGCTTTAGACTTCACTATTATATTAGTGAAGACAATATTAATCAACCTCTTTTCAAGGTTCAAAATGATAATCAATTCAATATCAATATCTCTCTTAACATTCCAAAAAAACAATTTCTGCAAGACTTTAAAATTCCTTCTCTTAAACCACATTTAACTGAATTTGATTT